AAATGCGAATGCAATGTTAAATAATCTAATCATTAATTGACTTACCAAATTCTTTTTTAATTATCAACTTTTTGTCGGAAGAAATATTAATCAGGCAAAGAACAAAAACTTGAAATTCACAAAAATATTATTGATATTATTGTTCGGTTGCAATTTATTAATTAATAATAATAATAATAATAATCGCAAGGAATCAAAAAGAGATGATTGAATTATTTGAGAATCGGAGAAAATAGAAAAAAGATTTCAATTATAAAATGATCAATTTAAAAATTAAAATTAAAAAAAAAAATATTGGCTGAAAAATATATTTATTATATATTTATTATGTCTACTATGTGGAACAATAATTCCCCAAAAATTTTTCCATTTTTTTTTTTTATAATAATAATAATTAATATATTGTGTTAAATAAAATAGTTTTTTTTTTTTCTGTAATACTATATAGTATAATACTAGAAATATATTATTATATCATACATTTTACATTTTATCAATAAAAAAACGATAAAAAATTTTTTCTTTACGTCAACAAAAAAACTTTTTAATAATTTGATTTTTCTCATTTTATTTTTTTAACAATAAAAAAACATCAAAAATAAATTTACTCTTAGTTAATGAGAAAGGAAAGAAGAAAATAAACTAAATAGAGTAAAATATATACTACATATATAATGATAATACTAAACAAAGTTACTTTTTTTCGTAAGATGCTGCAACAAATTACGTGAAACAGCCCGCCATAACTATTAAAACTTGCATGACATAATCATCAAACTAACCCGTTTTTTTTTGATTTCCTTGATTTATTCATACTTTACTACTATACATTACCAAATTCATATACCTTTTTGGCTTTTTTACCTAAATCTGTCAACTTGTCAATTCATTGATTTGTTGGTTATGCCGATTCGCTAGATTAATAACTTGGATTCTTTGTGCGATAGAATAAGGTGGTTATTTTTAATATAACAAAAAACCATCCAAGTTACACGACCCCGCTTTTTTTTTCTTTGCATACATACATAATACATGTCAACATTCCTCTTCTCATGTTGTAACATAATCTGCCAAAAAGATTCAGCATCATCATTATTATTATTGTATGCATAATCAATCTTTTGGGGAATTGTTAAAATGAGAACAATCAGATAACAAATTGCA